TATATATTTCAAAGCTTTGATAACACTGTTTTAGTAATTTTTCCCTCATTAGTAATCATCAAAATGGTACTTTGTTGTCAAAAGTTTAATAATAACCTGAAGGTTATCTATGCTCTTTATAAGGTCAGTCTAGTTTATTAGACGGAAAGAAACAAAAAACAAGCTCAAAATTCTCCTTAATTGGCTTGCAGTAGATGCTTGTTGTCCGATCTTTGAGCAAGATGAATGCACTTGGCATACCCAACTAGGAAATGTCGCGTGTCAACTTTATAAATAATTGCAATTAATTGCGATTAACATGGATTTGCATTTAACTTACGTTGAAATCAATTGGCCAAGTTCTGGAGGCTGCTAATAAACAGCTATAAAATGTGTATATATATACTGATAAATTGATGTATATCTGTATATATATTATTTTGTGTATGTTCCGATAAGACGAATGTGAATTTCGAGGAAGCGCCTGGGGCGTTGTAAAATACACGAATTATGTCAAATTTGCAATCACAAACAATAAATTGATTTTTTTGGCGCTGACGTTAAGCAGATACGCGGTATTTGCATGTGTAATAAATTATATATAGATGCTTAAGCCGTGTGCATATACATGTACTATGTATGTATGCATGTGTTTATGCGTACAAAAAATTGTATAAACATTTGCAGCTTCCGTATGCCAAGTAAATGAGCCGTAAAAATCTCTTCAAGTGATTTTCCCTGCCGATCACTGATCACGTTCACTGCGTGATATTTGATCGCCGGCCGATTGCACAGTGGAGCTCTGCTTGCGGCGCAGCCAAAAGCACAACCGTTCGGTTAGAAGTTCCGCGACGAACTGTGCTCAAGCACGACGGAAACCGAAAGTCCAGCCGAGCGTTCGGCCAGTCGAAGCTGCATTGATCGTCGGCTTCGCTTCGCGCTGTGCGTACATAATACAAATTTGGGCAGTCGTAGAACAAGTTCGCTTTCTTTGCTGTTCGGTACGTCGCGGATGGCAACTGCAACTGCGATAGCGACGTCGACTGCAACTGCAACTACTACTGCTGCTGCTGCTTACTTGTAGTTGGCTGGACTGCAGTCGCTGTTGTTGCTGCGCTGCTGCCTCTCTTAAGGCGCTGCTCTGCTGCTGCTGCAATTCTGCTGCTGCTCTCTSTTTTAGTCTTTGCTTTCTGGATATTACTCCGCTACTGGCGCTGCTCTGCGGCAGCTCTGCTGCTGTTTCTCTGCTGCAGTTGTTCTTTCTGCCGTTGTTCTATAGCTAGTGCTCCTTTGTTGCAGCGCTGTTGCAGCTGCAGTTCTGCTGCTGTCGCTTTTGCTGCCGTTATTCGCTACCCTTTTTGTTGATCATTCACAACATATCATGCAATATGTTCCACGTGGAAAGTATAGAGCAAAATTTATACATATAAATATTCTTAATCAAATTCTGTTCTTCATCTCTCTCTCTCTCTCTCTCTCTCTCTCTGCTAGAGTATACAATATTCGACTATACAACAACAACGAATCTTTTTCTCTTGTTGGCTTTTGAACGTTGCGCCCCCACAAGCTAGATGCAGACGCATAGACGAGAGTCGCTGTAGCTCTCGTTGTTGTTATTGTTGCAGTTGCGGTTTATGCTTTTATGGCACTGTTGTTCTTCCTCTTCTGCTTCTTCTTCATGTTCTTCTTCAGTGGCGAGTTGTTAACTTAAATATTTGCGCCTGGCCATGCCGAGCAGCCCATTTAGAGACGATCTTTCACACAGATGCCACAAGAACTTGTTTTCGCTGCCCTTGCCCAAATGCAGTGTCAACTAACTATCCGTCTCCCCCTTGGGGCCACACTGTGCATAGCTGTGCCCACTGTGCACAGTTGACTAGAAGGATTTGGTCAGGCATTCAGCTGCGCTTTATAGCAACTCACAAAAGGTATTAAATGGGGGCTATTAGCTGCCGTTTATTGTAGTCGGGAACACCCACGCGTGATAGGAAAGAGAGGTAAAGACAGTGTGGGAGAGAGAAGGGAAGAGATGTGGATAACCGTTGACAATTAACTGATAACAATTCATTTGCATTTTGTGTGGGCGCCCCTCATCACACACATCTGCCATTCAGTTTCCAGTTAGTGTATTTTTTTTCGGTTAATTTGACAGCCGAAATTTGATGAGCCGAAAAAAGTCAAGTCAAGTTTTAAGTGGCAATCGCATCAAAGCGTTTCCAAGCGAATCAAATCGGAATCGAATCGAAAACTGTGAACAGGTAAACACTCCACAACAAACCATCTTTAAGATCTTCGACCATTTATGCCAGCTTATCAGACCAGGTATACGCACTTTAACAAGCTCTTCGTAACGCCCAGTGCCCCCCCCCAACAAAAATATGGAGGCTCTGCAAATTGATTTAACTATTCGAAATTAAGTTTTATGCTTCCAGTGAAAACGAATTTCAATTATTCTTTGAGAAATGACCGCTCAGAAAATTATATTAAAATTTATTCAGCTAAAATTTGTGCTCCCTACAAGTGATCTAAAAATTTTCTCACTTTTGCTATTAAATAACTAGAATATCGAATAAAAGAATATGAGCATAAAAATGAATTAGCATATAAAAGCACTTAAAGTGCGTTGCAGTTAGCAGAAGTAACGACTGTGAAATACCCTGTATAGTTACTATATAAACTGTAGACAGCTGTTGGTCTGGACTCCACATAGTACATATGAGAGTAGCCTAACCCTAGTATATATTATATAATTGATTATCCAGGAGAATTTTTATTAGACTTGAAGTTGAAACTAGATTTAAGACTACAGTACAATAATATGATATAATACAATAATAAAATACCCCGTGTTATACCCCATAGGCCTACAAAATAAAACATAGTGTATCTAAGAGTATTTGCATATGGCTAGAACTTCGATTTCAATTGAAACTGGAACTGGAGTGGGGGCAGCATGTGTCAGCAGAATCGAGAGTTAGGATCATTTGATTATGGAACTGACGCTGTCTGCATTGCAATTTGCTTGTTTTGTTTGCCCCGTCACGCAGGCACAGTTTTTTATTTTTTTGTTTTCTTTCTTATGGGCTGGGCCGACAATTTGGAGCAATATGCAATGTCATATGGGCTCCCCACTCTTGTCTATCTCTGTCTCTGTCTATGCCCCAAAGAGTTGGCCATAAATCGCGCTCATGTGTCCGAGCGAATTGTCAAATGTATGCGCTGAAAAGATCTTTTGACACCGTTCAGCTGCGCTACCACAGAGTTCCGTAGATAATTTATTTGATCACGCTTTCCCAGACGATGCGACGTTGACGGAAGCGCACGAATCGGCAATTCGCCAATTCAAGATTTCCCACAGACAAAGTGAATCTCGACTCGAATTTGTTAGCATTAGACGCTGCGATCAACTGATCAACTGATCAATTGATCAACCGATCGCTGATCGCAGCAAGCGCTGAACGTCGCACGGCCTTGACGCCTTATTAAGCATGAAAATGCGCAACACAATTATAAACAACTTCCTCGTTGTTAAGGATAAGCTATAGATGACAACCCACTAATTAAATCTAAACACTGTTGAAGAATTTTAATGATAAAAACTAGAAAACAAAAGTAAAATTCCATTGGATTCGATTTTCCACACAACTCACACCAATTTTCAAGTATTTTTTAAAATCTAACTAACTAGTAGGTTTTCTGGAACTAGTATTTTACTGCTTATTTTGAACCAGATACAAAATTTAATTTGCAATCAGTTTCTTCCGACTGCGCTATATTTCTTTTGAACCTCAATTTGAGAATAGAATGTCAAGGAAATGATCGTATTTATAACACATTTTTAGGAATGGAACTAGTTCTTTTTATGAACTGTCGTAAAACTAGGAACTCTTTTGGTTTCTCTTAGCTACTGGTTCAACTTACTAACATATGGAATAAATATAGCAGATCTAGAAGTCTCTACAGAAAGCAATGGAACTAGTTCTTTTTATACCTTGACCCCATTGAGCTTAAACTGATTTACTGCCAGTAGCTTTAGATTTACTTTGCATAGCTTTTGCTTCTAGTTTGATGATAAATGAATCGGAACTACTGGAACCAGCTGCCTTCGAAAAGCTCATGCCTAGTAGGCTTTGCTTATAATTCGCCTCGTGCTTCAAACTCTAAACAGTTTAAGGACAACAAGTAAATACATCTTGGCAATAAACAAAAATTTCTTGACACACATTTGTTGTAGGCAAAAATTATTCCAAAAAAAATAATAACCATATATAAGGACCATGTTCTCGTTTGTCTTTTGGAGGAACGAGGCCAAGAGGAACCCGCGCGAGAATGTCTCGCAAATCTGGAAGGATTTGAATGCAACATTTGTGACGTAAGCATAGAGAGAGAAAGAGAGAGAGAGAGATAGAGAGATGAAGCTTATGACTTCTAATGCGACTCTATTGCAGCTTCCTCGGCTGGAGCTGGTTGATTTATACCATTGCAGTCATAGTCATCTCCATTTGCGGTTACTTCGCCTACTGCGAGAGCTGCCGAAGAACTGAGATTGTCCGACGCAGACGAGTCATTCAGCGAGCCCAGGAACGGTAAGTCTTAAGACATGGAAATAAATATTTCTATGAAATAGTTAGCAGTCAACCTATCATCCTCTTCCAAAAGGAGGGTATGACATCTTCACTTATTTTTAACACGCTCTCTTTTCGTTCTATTCAAAATTAAGTTCCTAAACAAACTGAAATATTTTGTAACTCTGCAATGAGCGACCCCATTTCATTGCTGTTTACTTAGCTCTCCATCCCAATTTCTCTTGCATTGTAGCCATTAACTGCTCGTTTATCTTTATTGCAGACCACCTCAGAAGCGTCGTCCGAATGCTGCATATCGCGATCATCAGATCTATCGGCACATCATCCTCAGCGTGGCCAAGTACATGAAGAATCCAGAGGGAGTGCGGCCCTTCATCGACCACATGGACCATCTGTATCCGCTGCGGCACTCTCAGGCCGAAATGCAATTGAACATTGGCCACTCTGCCATCGAGGCGAATGCCGGTGCAGTGGATTGAGCAAGAAGAGAGCTTTTGTCACCTGCTGCTATTTTGATTCTATTTTCATTCATTTTCGTTCAAATTATCGAACAGACCAATTTAACCTGTAAATTTTGATAACCGCCCTTCGCCCCCCCTTTTATGCCAACCATCATACTGTTTAAACGAATACAAAATTAAAGACAGACGTTCCGCACTGTTTTCCATCTTCTGCGCACTCGCCGCAAATGCGGCCTAAAAATATGCAATGGCTATTTATAACAGCAGAAGAGTCGCCGCGGCGCGCCGCTTCCAGTCAGGCGACTTGGAAAGACCAACAAATATAAACAAATGCCATGTGCGTTAAAAAAGCTCGGCGAAAAAAGCGTCGCACATAAACTAGGCGAAAGCTCACACTTTCACGCTCTCTCTCTCTCTCTCTCTCTCTCTATCTCTCTGCCTCTTCCTGTTGCGTGTTGTTGCAGGCGCACGTTCCAGCTCGCTTTCGCGTGCTCTCGCTCTCTCTTCTCGGGGCGTTAGTCCAATTGAAGTTCGATACACTGGCTCAGTCGCCAGTCAGACATTCAGCGTGTCGCACGTACGCACGCATCGAGCAGCAGCAGCAGCAGCAGCAGCAGTAGCAGCAGCGCGGGCGCGTTCAGTGGTTGTTGGAAGCAGTCAGACACACACAAACACACACATACTAATACACCCACACACAGGCATACAGCGGCCAGCAAACAAAATTTTCTGTTCTTTCTGTTCCGCTTTTGGTCAACAAAAAAAAAAAAAAAAAAACGTTTTTCAGTTGATTATACTCTTCAACTATTTTGTGTGTCAACTGGAAAAACGGGCGAAATAAAAGTAAAATCAGGAAATTGTCGAAATTTACAATTTTCAGCAAGTAAATTATGCAAATTTATTTAATTAACTTGTGAATAATTGAAAAAAGAGAAGAAAAAACATATATAAGTCAAGGCGCACACCTGCGCACATGTTACACAGACACTGCGTGTGAGTGTGTGTGTGTGTATGTGTGTGTGCTCCTGCTCGCTTGTGTGTGTGTTGAAGGCTAAGCGAGGCAGCAGCAGCAGCCGAGGCACAAGAAAAGCCAACAAGTAAAACAAAAAACAAAAAAAAAAGACTGTGTGGCATGTGCCCCAAAAACATTGGGGCAACATCAATGCCAGCTAGCACGTGTGTGAAAATTCAATGAAAATTGTGAAAGTTACACGAAGTCTCAGTGTTACTTAAAATAATGATAAATAAATTGCAACCAAAAACTAAAAACAAATAAGAAAAATTTTATAAATGTGAAAAAGTGATTGAAAAATATATTTTTTAATTTTTAAATACTTAAAACCTTTACAAGAAATGTTGTAAACTAAAGTTTTGTCACATTTCAATTTTTTTAAATTAATACAAATTTAATTATCCGAGAGAGACAAAATAGAAAACAAAATATTAAGAGATGCAAATTTATAATTCGATTTATATTATTATTTAAAAGTTTATATATAGACTGTTAAAATGATTTTTATTTTTGCATTATTTGAATGCTCGCTCAAAACTCAGATATTCAAAATTTAAATTTAAACAAAGCAGCCAAAATATAAAAACTATATAGAAAGTCAAACGTATTAGTGGACAATAAATTATAAATTTAAATTTAAATATTGAGACATAAATATAATTATATAAACACTTCTATATAAAACTGCATAAATAAACCTTAAACTTATCAATAGCTCAACTTTTCTTATCAACAAACTACAAAGGCAGCTGTGCGCCATAGCGTGTTTTCACTGTGCCCCGACAAAATCCCATCTAATGCCCCACATTTACATTTATCTAAATGTTATTTTAAGACCAAATCTAAAACTGTTTAAATAACACTTTGATTTCCTTATCTAGAATTTAACGTTCACGTATAATTTATTTAAATACATGCATTAAAATATTATTTGATTGATGTATGAGTGTGCGGCGCGAACGTTAATAAGACTCGCCCACGCACCTAGACATTTGATAGTTTTTTCTGAACCGTTGCAGCCAAACAGCCAAGTGATAAAGACAAAGTGTTCAAGACAAAATGTAATAAATATATAATTAAATATACAACAAGAAAAACACCAATAACAACAACAGCAAACGAAAACAAAATCAAATCAGTAACAAACAACAAAAATTATATGTAATAATAACGTTGAACAGCACTCAAAAGATGTCAAGTCAAAGGTGAGTATACAACACTGGCTGCGGCCATAGACACACCTAGAAACAAGTACAGCACACATACACTCACACTCACTCACACACATACACACATCCTACCTCAACAGCAGCTAGCGAAGCAACAAAGCAAAACATAAACAACCCCAAAATACCCGCAAGAGCCAAAGCCAAAGCCAAAGCGAAAGCCTAACGGTWCTAGCTGTCAAATGCTGCGCAGCAGCTGCGTCGCGACGTCTCTGTAGCTCTTGTGCAGCTGAGCCTCAAATAGGCAGCGCAAACAAGCAAATTTACTTGAAAAGCTCAATGCAAAAAATGTTTGGCTAGCGAGCAGAGGCAGAGGCAGAGGCAGCGAGCAGAGACAGCAGACAGAGGCAGAGGCAGAAGCAAAGGTACAAGCAGCGGCACAGAAAGAAGAAAAGGGAGAGGCTCAAGCTAAAGGCAGCTGGCAGAGGCTAAGGCAGTAGCAGCGCAGTCAGCAGCTAGTTGAGATTAGCCGCAGCCAAAGCCAAGTCGCTGCGTAAATATTGAAAAGCTCATTTGAGCAGCGCTGCCTGAGTTGCTACAGTGTTTAAGTGTTACATATTCTCTCTCACACACATGCATACATGCATGCTACTTTGACAGCCATTGGACTTATCAATTGAAGCAGATTAAACAGTGCTTGCAAAAATATGATTTTGTTAAGTAAGTTCAAATTAGAAGAAAAATAGCGCAAAGTGAAGCTTTTGGGCTTTAATAAATCGACAAACTTTTCGTATTTAGATAATTCGCTTAAATTCGATATCTACTATTTGGGTATATTGCATGCGTATCCTTTTCTTTCGCTTCGCTACATTTTATGAACAACTTTTGTTTTATAGGCAATTTGTCTTTTGTGTGCGAGTGCGGGAGGTTGGAGATGGATGGATGGGCAGCAGTAGGTGGGGCTAGGTCTTGCTACTGTCATAAAATTGAGCCGAGCCCAGCTGAGCTACTGCTGCTGCTGCCGCTGCTGCTGCTTCTGCCTGCGTGTCCTTGCGGCCTTATCTATAGCCGCTTTCTTCGGCTTTCTTTGCTTGCCCGTCAAGTTGTTTATTTTGTCGTAAATTTTTTGCTCAAGGACGAACCACCGACAGGCCGAGTGAGTGAGTGAGCGAGTGGGTGAGCGACCAACCGCCCGCCCGTATCATAATCATGAAACAGACATGGGCCACTTTATCGATCACACAATGGGAAATTTCACACCTTGCCACCGGCTGTGGCGCCACCAGCTCAGCGCGCTGCGCCCCACTTCAAGGTCGTCTTTGCTTGCCTTTTGCATAATTCAAGGGTCTTCAGATCGAAGCTCGCTTTCACTCTCTCTCCCCTTCTCTCTCTCTCCCTCTCGCTCTCTGCTTCTGGCACAGTTGCAAGTTCTCACACATGGCTGGCTGCATGCAACATTTTGCGCTGCGCGTCCAGCACACAAATTGCATTGCATACTTCAAGGCTGGCCTCTAATTTACATGCCAAATGGCGCATGCCGCACACTTTTCCTCACTTTGCCTTGCCCTCTTCTTCGCTTTGCCACACATTTCCCTCTTACGCTTTTCAATTTCACCGCCGTTTTTCTTGTTAGGCCACCCTTTTGTTCTTATTGCCACATTTATGAGCTGCGACGTAATTGTTTTTCTTTCCACCCACGCCTTCAATTAGCCCAGCTGCAACACAATACTGCATAAATGTATATGTGTGTATATGTGTGTATATGCATATATGCATACATATATGCATATTCATATGTATTATGCATGGATTTTTCCAAAAGTCACTTGCCATTGCTCAGAGCGATTAAATAAGTAGAACAGGAGCTTAAATAATTAAATAAGAAAAAAAAATGGATTTTTTTTGTTGGTATTATCTATACGAAAAATTTGTGACGACATAGTTAAATTAAAGAATAAGTTTGCATATATATATTATTTTAATACTTAAATAAAAGTATGTAAAATGAAACAGATAACGTTCTTATTTGTAAATTTTTTTTTTTTTCAAAA